TTTTCCTCCCTTATGAACCTCGTTCCTTGTATAATAGTGATAATGTCAACCTTTATATTTAATCTGCGATAACCTTTTCATGTGAATAATTCACGGATGAGCGCCATACATTCCAGTCATGTGTTTGAGCATCTAGCTAGCATGGATTTTGGAGCTCTGGATCATAATGGACAAAATCGATATTGCGTCTCTTTTTTGTTACAGAAGTCGTCTGGATTTTGTCTGCGTTTCTGACGTTCGCTTCGATAAACATCTGGACAAATGCGAACAGTTCGAAGAGTAGCTTACAAGCGAAGGGCTTCTGTATCATTTTCTGACAGTAGTTGGAGCGACATTCGTTCTCCGTAGTGTACTGTTTAGATGACGGGCTAGTAGCACCATACTGGGCGGCTTTGCTTGGACGCCTGTTTGTTGACACATGGTGTCCTACTGATGATTGTCATCTAGCAAATTGTCTTTGTTTGGATTGGCTTCGGATGTAGGCAGAGTGAAGCAGTTAACCCTGAAAGAATTCTGATGTACGGTGTTCTTCTTTTTTGGGAGGAATGGATGGCTGCTTTCCTTCGGTCTGACAACACATGGTGTCCTGTCCCGCGGTAGTATTGGCAGCACTAACTGTATCTATGTTTCTGGCGGTCTATGACACGATGCACTGTGCCTCTGTCATGCAGTGTGCACCTAGCAGTGACCACATGAGGAACTGGTGTGTCCATAGTGTCAGCACTTACTTTGATGCCACTGTCCGGGGGATCAGAGGTTAACTTTACTGTCTGTAGGAACGGTGCTGGTGGTTAATCTATTAAATATCGCTGAACGCCGCATGCTGGAAGGTAGGCCACAAGAGGAGCAGTGTTAGGTGATTGACGTTACTATTCAGATCGACTGTTAATTTCGGATATGTTGGGTTTAAAATTTGTTCTTTGAACACGCGTTAAGGGTGCCAAGCGCGTTAATTTAAACTAAGATACTCACAGTGCCTCTGGATGTCAATGATGCAGCTGGTCAGCCGTTCTCAAACACTCTGTGATTGAATTCTTCATGCTCTGTCCGCAAGTAGGGTGCTAATTCGTAAAAATAACAGCACATCCATTCTTCCTTTTTATCATTCGAGCTCCAAGATAAAAGAGCGTTGTTTACTCCGGTGTAAGATCCGAGTAAGGGCCTATCTATGAAACATCGACGTCTTTGCTGTAAAGTATAAACAGAAGCTTCCTACCAAACGTATCTATGCATATATCGCAGGAGGAGTGAACATGTTAGCGGAACAGAGTAGCTAAGCAAATATCACCAACTATTGCCGTCAGGAACGGCATATAAAGCAAGGATAGCGTACGATCTGAGCGTCTTTTGAAAGGGAGAGGCAGCTCTTACCGGCAAGTTGATGCAACCTAGCGCACTCACACTCTTTCGGCTCAGTTAGATAAAACATATTCAATCCCCATTAATTCAGCCGTCCAGCTTTCAATATGATTGAGATCAGGGATGTTCGGACGTCATAAGTGTGTTGTGGCTCTAGAGTACCTACCGATCATCAAGTTGAGGTGATGTCTAAACTTACTCCAAAACACGAAGGAAACGTCTGAATAAACATGTTGGTTGAATCAGTCATCTCAGCGTAAGCCGCCACTCCGATTGACGGTGTCGCGTCTGGTCCCAATAGTGATTAGGGATGTTTCCAGTAAGATACAGTTAATAATTTAGTGCATTTTGACACTACGTCCATGGTGCACTTTTGTGGCATGAGTGGGAACAATCTGGCTTTTCCTGCGTAAATCCGGGAAAGTAGGTTCTTCAGCAAATCTGAGCATGACGATTGCTACTAAGTGACATGTCTGCTCACGGCAGTAAAGATAAATCTTTTCTCTCTCGCAGGCCAGAAGGCATGGAATAGGTTCCGAGAAGCACCTGCCTCCTTGGTATCTTACACATTCCTAGGTTGCGTAAAGCTGGTATAACTTGGATGAGGATAAATTTTCAGCATCATATTGCTTTGTGAGCCAGGCAGGTTGACGCAAAGGGTGGCAAGTATGTATTAGTGACGAGTGAGACCACATATTTTGGATTCCTCATCTTTGTTGATCAATGATGACATTTGTGAGTACTTCCAAATAAGCTCAGGTGTAGGTGTGTATATTCTTTGCTACTTCAGATGAGCACGTTTCGTCATGAACATGATATAGTTGGTTTCTCCCCAGGTTGTTTTTGCGTGAAAAATATCCTCGATAAGCAGAGGTGCTAGCATACACCCAGCTTCCTAAATATGAAGTGCGTGATACTCGGATTACTTCAACACAATTTTGTGTGAGAAACATCGGTTAAGAAGCTATAACGGACGTTTCGCGTAAGAGTACTCAGTCCGCTCTTAACCACACACGCAAATCCGGAGGATCCACTTTAAAACTCATTGTCGCCCATGTCACAATAGTGGTAGTAGACCACAGTATTACACGGCCTTCGGTAAGCATCAGTACGCTGTTCAATTTTATATGTGGTTTCTCAGCCCCAGTCAGTCTCTGTAAAACAGGGCGGAAATGGTTAGTGGATTTGCAACCAGTCCGACCCCTCGCATTAAATGATGGGCTTGCAATCTTCCATTGTGAGCAGCACAAAGGTGGAAATATAAGAGCACCGTTCGCGTTTACACTTTATTACATACTCATTAGGTCGTCAACATTACATTGATGTGTGGTCTCAGGTTAGATGTGAAGTCGTCGCCAGCGGCAGTTCTGTTCATGACCTCGAGACAGTGAAGTTCATTTCATACTCCAGTTTCTGAAGCACGGGTCCGGAAGGTGGTTCCCTGTGTCTTTGTGCACACGGTCCAGTGTGCAGAATGCCAGTGAGCATGAATTCAAGTGTATAATTAAATACTTAAAGTTGGACGAGATCATTAGACACTGTATCGGGTTAAATACACTCTAGTGATGCCAAGATACTTCGGATAATTTCCCAATTGTTGATGGTCAGGTTTTTGGAGTATCCGTGGTTTCGCTGGGATTGTGACACACAAGATCATATGTGGCCTCGGCTGAACTTGACGTCAACCTCTGCCATTTCGATCACTGGGACCACAACCGAAGTGGAGGGTTTCTATGTGGATCTCTCCCATCACTACCCGCCACGACAGGTTTTGTTCTTGTTTGGATTTATCGGACTATCTTTATCTGCTGATTTCAAACAAATAGTAGACGTGTCAGGGATTGCAGTGATGGGAGGAAGCTGCAGCCAAATCTACTACCTAATTGTTCTCTTCCGCGTTCAGGTAGAGCACACATGTAATTCTCTTGACACCACATGAGCCGAAGACGTTTAATAAGGAGAAACCGCAAACAACAGCGGACGAAACTAGGCCAGTGTCACGTATACAAACCATCATGAACATGAAAGACTCGACAAACATGCGGATATCTTCCACAGTAGTACTCTTTCCTGGTTACTCAGCTGCCTCCACCCATGAACACCTTCGCAGAGTGACCCATAGTACTGCCATTTACTTCCACAATTACGTCAAGCACCTAGTTGCTTACATACAATCTAGTAGGCAGTTCTAGAATGATCCTGCTCCAATCTAATCTTGAGTGAATTGAAATGAAAGCAAACAAATTAATTTTATGAATAGAGCATTTTCTGCACCCATACTTATCATCTTACTTGTTTATGTCTATACCCCTATCAGGGCTCTAAATGAGGATAAGTTGATCTCTCCTTCTGCTAGGATATTCCCCTGTGTGGTAGAGAAATACACATTTATGTATGTAAACTTTACGTCAGTTGCTAAAGTGTCAGCAGTTTCATCCGGATTAAGCCAGGGCAAGTACAGTGCTTGCGTGTGCGTAAAAGATGTGACATATCTCTGATATTATTATCCTTTACTATCACGCCTACCCCTTTAAGACTATTCAGGCCTAGCACCCCTAGTAAAAGGGCAAGTTCACAGCATTTGAGACCCAAACAAGAAGAGTTACTAAGCACATCTATGGCTTGTTCCACTTTCCATGCTAACTAACTTGGCAAAGAAAGGCATCAGCAATACGCCGGTACTCAGTATCGATGCTTCGCTACCGCACAACCACCACCGGTCTCACGCCGGCTAGGGATGCTGCGTGGGTTGCCTTGGCCCTACGCTGGCTCGAACCCGCTCCGCCGGCTTACAAGACAAGCTCCTTACTTTAAGGCTACTGGCCGACAACTACAATGGAAATTATCGGTGTATTTGTGGTGACCTTATTTTGACTTCCGGCTATTCAAAAAACCGGTTTTGCATATTACCCATCTCCTATAATTTGGCTACAACACCAACATGAGATATTGACAGTTGAATGCGAAATATAGGAGGTCGGCTTGTAGCAGAAATTGTTGTCCTTCAGAATTCATCACCAGTGGAAGGCTGTTCCGATTCGTAACATTTTGGTGCCCATGTTATCGAATCGATGGTGCAATTAACACTTGCATGTCGTATTCACAAAACAACAACAAAGGTAAGTAACTAATGTACTCATGAGCTGCTACGAGACCGGGAGAAGCACCTGCGTTTGTGGTAGTACGTAAATCATGGTGATGGCGCAACTACACAGTGTTTTGTCGACAACGTTTTTATCCAGATTATTCCATGGAAATTGTTCATACTCGGCTTTTTTGACGGCGTATGAATCCCCCACCATTGTTGTATAACTTTGTGTGACATGTGCTTTTCAGTGACTTCGAGAAAGTAGCGGCGATTGGTTATCTAACGTTGCTATTTATTATAAAAAACACGAATCGATTTCAGTACATGCATTTCGTTGTTCTACTTCACATACTTACTCAGAAGCTGCATCACGGAAAAAACTAAAAGCTCACCGCGACCTATCTGTAAGCTCATACGCAGATTCTTGCATGCGTACTAACGTATATCGGTAGGATAAACGAGCGCCTACTAGTTCAGCGCGTTACAAACTCAGTAAACTTATGGATTTAGACACTCCTATTATTTGCAAAGTTGCAAGATTACATGGACTTACTGATACATTTCCTTGGGCCAGCATTTGCTCACAGAGTGAAACACACGAGTCGGGTAGGTCAGCAATGGAAAAACTTGAGGCATATTGGCCAAGATCGAGTAACATTTCCAACCTGAGAATTGAACGTAAAAGTAATATTGGTTAAAACGTTGCTTTGTTGTCACGGGTCGGGCTCCAGATTGGTACGCACAAATAATTATGTGACAACTTGTTCACTCATATTTAAAAACATTTCAATAGCATCTTGAGCGAATGTGCGTGCTCATCGCTCACTTGTGCACTGTTGTTTTTTTTCACCGTGGCTCAGCGGCATTTTATCGTACACATTTGAATCTCTACTTATTCGTCGTGCTTGTAAAAGCTCAACCTTGTGATACTATTTTCTCCAGTGCCTTCTATATTTATCCTGCATTCTAACTTTTGGGCAACGCTTCGCCAATATCCATGCGCCAAAAGTTGCATAATGCCAATCAACAGACATTGTTTGGTTTCACTCGACAGACCATTTCAACCGCTTCGGAAAGAACGCTCAGTCGTTTAAATCCAACATTGCTTGGAGCAGCTACAGGTCTCAAGGCAAATTCACCTGGAGTAATCCACAGCCTATCCACGAAAATTCTCAAGCACACCTTTGCGTAATTATTTATTTTTATATTTATTTATTTAATCAACCCTGCGTTCATGCTGACGCATTCGGCTGGTACGCCAGAGAGGACAGCCAAAAAGCACACAACAGCAAAGTAAATAATGTAACCTTGTCGTCAACTTCAGTAACAGAACAACCTTTGCCACTGAGAGTGAGTCATTTGCCCAACACGTGCGATGCTCAGTGTGCCACAGACTAAAGACCTATGTGGATTATGTGCCAACCTTGTTAAGGGGCCTTCGGTGCTGCAAACGTTGAAAGCTTTTCCATGCAAGACGCCTCCGAGTTATTTCTAGTCAGGCCAAGTAGTTAATCCAGCCAGCTTCTGTATGACTCTGCGTAGAATGCACACCTACCCCCTGATAAAAAGCGTTCTCCTATTATCTCAGAAACAAGATCAGTTAGTAGCCAAGCTTGAGGAAATGATGACTACCACAATGAACATGATTAGGGTAAGCATAGTGGACTGGGCAACTCCAGCCTCCCCAGTAAAGGCCGCACTTACCCTGAGGAGAACGGCGAGTAACAAGATTGTATAGATCATTCCCCTTTCATCGTACGTAGAAGCTTAGACATGGGACTAACTACGCGGACGATGAATAGGACGTTATACTTTTCACCAAGTACACATTGAAAAAACGATTAGTCGCCAGCCGCTCACTGGTCGGCGAAACTTCACGTATGAGTTGTACAAGCTCCGAACCATTACTTAGATCTCAGAAACTTTCATGTATGTTCATTGCTGCATAATGGCTCCTCAGTAAACTTACTGAACTCCGGCTACGTCAAGTTGCAAATGCTTATGACCCAATTTCCATTACCGAAACTTGGTTACACCAAGAGGTGACTGATGCTGAGGTTGAGATAGCCGGAATATCACTCATCCGGAACGACCGCCCCAGCAGAGGAGGTGGGATTCTACTCTACTACCGCAGCAATCTACAGTGTACAATAGTTGATGATCTGGAAACACACGTTAGCGACTCACTCTGGTGCCGTCTCCGACTAAGACATAACGACGCATATCTCGTAGCTGTCGTTTACCGCCCCCCAACGTCCACTCCGGAAATGGATTACCGCTTGATATGTGTTTTGAACAAGGTAACTCGCACTATGCACAGCCACATTCTCATCTCCGGGACCGCAATCTACATGATCTAGAGGCATCAACATCACCCAGTGAGCAGTTCAAAGCAGACTTGTATGAACTTAGCTCTAATTTTCCCTCGTACAATCATGTCACCACGCCCACTAGGTTCAGGACAGCAAACAAACCGTCCATATTGGAGCTTGTGCTCATAAAGGAAAACCTCGTGGTTGACAAATTATTGACGGGGGTCTAGTATGTCTCATCGACACGTAGTAATAACGTACAACTATGTGTGATATGCAGCGTAGCCATCTGACACTCGGAACTAACTCATACAATCACATGCTATCACGTCTTTAAGGAACTCGTCGACACATCTCGACGCATCTCAACCAACAGTTCGCTTGGTAAGGTTTGAGCAGAGTTTGTTGAAAGACTCAGCGATATCGACAACAAAGCATAATAGACCAAGCCCCTTCGCCCCGCAAAATTGATTACAATTCTAAGGTGCAGGACTAGAAAATGCATGGTGATATGGGATACAGTATGGGGTGCGTACAAGGTTAACCGCGCCTCAGAGACTTGGGGCAATTTCCTGACCCATCGCAATGCTTGCACTGCAATTGTCTGTGAGGTCAAAGTAACCTATCGACAGTGCCTAGCCAAAACTTCCTGGCAACCAACAAGCTACTGTAAAGGCATGTCAACAATCTTTTTGAAGTGAAGCTTGGCATCCCTCGACTTTACACGACAGGCTGTAGAGTACAAAATGCCGAAAAAGCAGTTAATGTCCTGCGGTTGCAATACGCCGATTACTGTTCTGTTTCGCTTTACACGATATTTCGAACCTGCGCTTCCTTAGTTTTCATTGAGTACTATAAAAATTTAATCTACTGTTCGCCTGGGTTACCATAAGTTTGCCGTAATCTGGTCATATTTCCTGGCACCCACTGTCAAACGGACGAGGTGGAATTAGAACAATCAAAGTATATTTAAGGTGGTCAATCCAAGGCATTCATTGACGCAATTCTACTCCTTCCAATGCATCGCAGTACCAGTTAGGTTAAGTTACGCAAAGCAGTTGTAATAAACACTCCGCTTAAAATGCTCACCAAACGTCCGACGTAAGTAACGAACTAAAGTCTAGCATAGCGTCCTGTAGATCCCATCACCTGTTTTCATTTAGTTCAGTACATTAGCTCAGGTTTTGTAATAACAAAAACAAACACATCGAGTTGTCTATTGCCATATATATATATATATATCTTCACAGCGTGTTAACACTGTGTGGCAACAGAACCATTGCAGAAGAAAAAAGTGAAGATAGGAACACGAACTGGGATTAAAAATGGGAAACGATTATTTTTGGTTCTACACACGCCATCTTGAATTTTTTGTTTTTGTTTTGTGAGTTTTTTATGTGTACTAAAGGAAGGATATAATGGCAGAACAACCTTGACAATACTGATGTCTGTTGCAGGTCTTGACGTGCAATGTTTCCAACCACTGCGATTCAGCATCTCTTGGGCCTCAACTTGGAAGACGGACTGGTCCGACTGCGACCAAACTTGAGGTTGCTTTCTTCATGCTCCTTCTCCACGTCATTGACTGTCGACCGCAGCACTTTTGCATTCGCTCCCTGGGAGTGCAAATAGCGCTCGACGTGGAAGGTGATGGGCTGGAATGCGCAAAACGTACCCGAGCCAACGCATGCGACGTCGGAGAATAACGTCTTGACGACTGGCTCTATTCGTTCCAAGCACTCGGTCTCGCACCTCTGCTTTGCTTACGTGGTGTTGCCACCGCACCCGAGCAATCCTTCGTAGACAGTGATTGTCGAAAACTGACAGCCGCTTCTGGTCTTCCGAGGGAATAGTCTAAGTCTCACAGCCGTACAAGAGTACTTCACGGACGGAAGCATTGTACGTCCTGCCCTTGAGCTTGAGACTAATATCACGACGACGCCATAGGTGTCTCAGTTTGAGAAATTCAAGGCAGGCCTTTGTAATCCGTTGAGACTTTATCTCCAACACCGCCACTAGCCGTGGTGAAACGCCCTAGATAACTAAAGCAAGGAACTTGCTCTAGAACATTTCCTGCAATGGTGAGCTCGGGTTCAGGCACCTGCCAATCCTGGAGCAGCGTTCTACATTTTCCCGAAGTGAAGCTGTTCTGTCGTATATGCCGGAATCCCCTTTTTGGATCCAAAGATTGCCAGCAGCGGTTTGTGGTCAGTCACCAACTTGAACCGTCGATCATATCCTATTTCATGGAACTTTTGCACGGCAAAGATGATGGCCAACACCTCTTTCTCAATCTGACTATAATTCTTCTCAGATGCCGTCAGCGCTCGTGTAACATGCGCTATAACCTTTTCTGATTCATTTGGAAAACGATGGGAAATGACAGCACCAATTCCATAGCTTGAAGCATCCGTGGCCGCAATAATCTCCAGCGTCGGGTTATAATGAGTAAGCAGTAAGTCCGACTTCAGTAGAGATTTCAGTTGCTCAAACGAATGTTGACACTGTGCAGACCATTTCCATTCGACGTCTTTAATCAACAGGTGGTTTAGAGGATGACGCAAGCGATGCATGCATGGTAGCAATTCACTATAGTGACACACCATCCCAAGAAATGACCGTAAAGTTGTGACATCCGATGGCGCCGGTAACCAGTATATCACCTCGGTATTTTTGGATCGGGTCGTCGGCCGTTCTCGTTAATTATCAAACCCAGGAACTTAATTGACTTCAGGAAAAATTTGCACTTGACTGCCATTAATCGGAAACCGTATTCTTTGATTCCTTGCAGCACGTCATTCAATCGTTGAAATAATTCATCTTGCGTCGGACCCATTATGATGATGTTATCAAGGTAGGCTGCCGCTCCAGTTATACCCGTTTTGACTCCAAATGGCAAACGGTTGTACTGGTAGAGACCGCGATGCGTGTTGATTGTTAGAAGCTTCCTGCTTTCGGGTTCAACTTCTAACTGCAAATAAGCGTCTGCAAGATCAAGAGTAGCAAAGTACTTGCCCCTGTTCAGTTTTGGAAACACGTCCTCAGTGCGTGGAAGCGGATACTGATGGGGTTCCAGTGAAGCATTCAGGCCTGTTGAAAAATCTGCACACAAACGAATAGAACCGTTCGGCTTCCTGATCACAACAATAGGCGCAGCGTACGGTGAGAAATTGACTAGCTCGATCACTCCGGCCTGCTGAAATCAATCAATATCCTGTTCAACAACTGCTTGGGAAGCATAAGGGACAGGACGCCTGTGTCGAAACACTGGTCTGGCATTCGGAAGCAGAGTAAGTTTTGCCCGCATTTTCTTACAGTGTCCAAGTTCCGACTGGAAGACACACGCATACTTCGTTTGAAGTTGTTCAGAGATGCTTTGAACCACAGGAATCGGTATGGCTGTATTGTGCACCGTGACATTCCTTTCAGCACAGACACGATTCAGTGGCACATTGAACAAGTTCAGCTTCTCAATCCAAGCGATTCCGAGAAGATTAACGTCGGCATGAGCCTAGGTAGATCGTGCCACGGAGTTGTAGTTCCTTGAAGCTGACCTCACATTCAACCTCTCCATTTAATCTCAGCGGTTCCCCGGATGCATTCTGAGCCATCAGAGTTGTGCGCTTGAATGATGGTCTTCCAAGCTTCCTCCAAGTGGATCGCGAAATGATTGTGATGTCGGACGCCGTATCTAGTTGCAAGGTGACTGGAATATTATTGACTTTTACTGTTAAATACTTTCTCTTCTCTGCGAATTCCGTGCGAAATTCTGCGAGAACTACCTTTGTAGACGAGCCATGAAATTTAGCCCTTTTGAAGTTGATTTTTGTGCGCAATCTCGGGGGAAATGAACATCTGAAATTGTGCGCAAATCGACAGTGCGTTTCCTTATGACCAAACCGCTTGCACTTGTGACATTGATGCCCTTTGTAGATACAGTCTCTCACAAAATGCCAAGCGCCTCAATTCCAGCATGCGGTCGGGGGCTTCTGAGTTGACTGATTCCGGTTCATCACTTTACCACGGATAGCTGTGCGACAAATCTGGGGTTCTGTCCTGTGATCAGCAGTTTCGATCATTTTTGTGTCGTGCTTCAAATTAATCAGTCGCTGGCATTCGGCTGTAATCTCTTGCAACATTAACTGGGGTTCTTGTTCGAGCTTGTGGAGAATTCTTGTTCGAATATCGGCAGCAGCGTGGGACTAGAGACTGCACACGAAAATAAAACTCTTGGGTTGTTCAGGTGTCATCATACCCAGTTTGAATCGTTCACATTCGCGATTTACGATCCCGGCATGTGTGACAAAATCAATGGCATCACGTTTGACTAACTTCAAACAATTGTAGCGAACACTGAAGGGAGACGTGCTCACCGAATCTCTGGGTCAGCGTCTTCACCGTCTCCTCGAAGCTGAAGTCTCTTGCATTCTTCGGCAACACGCAATGTGTGTAACGTTCATGCTCGACTGCGCCAAGTTTCATCAACAACAAAGGAAGTTTCCAAGCATCGTCTTGGTTTGCAGGTTCCACTCGAAAAATATCTTCACACTTTAAGAACCAGGATTCAAATGTTAATCCGTTTAATCCATCGAAAACAAATTCTGTGGTTAAATCAGCAAGGGTATCCAGAGATGGCCGTGCGGTTGTCGTCGGGGATTCGCTGTGGATGTTCAGCTTCTGAGATAACTAGTCGAACAACTGTCGTTGAGATTTTTCATACTGGACTTGTTATTGTTGAGGAAGCGCCTGCATTTGCTCGGATGAAATCGACATGATTACCGCAACCTCCATCGCCAGAAAGTCTGTTGTATCGCTGCGGAAGCCTTCACCCCACGACCGCAAGAAGGAGTCTAAAGCCGAGCCAGCAAGAGACTTGTACACATGAAATCACAGTTGCTTATATAGTTTTGAAGGTAAAATGAAGGGAAGCTACTAAAGTACACTTGAGCCAACCAACAGAAGGAAAAACGTCAAATGCAACGGCGAATAAACAACCGTGTACTCAAGAGCGAATCGCTTATGTCCTTAAAAATAGCATCATTGGACTCCAAGCGTAAAGCGAACGTAAAGTTACAGTGACGGGCACTGGCCAATCAGAATGACGAAATGAAACGTTGGAACAAAGGTCATGAAACAAACGCGAATAAGAAATGAAGACCCAAAAGTTGAAGACTAGTACAATAATTGTGTGACAACCAAATATTCCTTTAACATAACCAAGCAGAACAGAGATGAGAAGAAAAAACCAATAGAATGTGTTCTTGCAAATGGCGCTGCTGAGAAGGACATGACGATGAGCATCCATTAACAATGACGTGGATGTACCAATCGAGCTAACCCAGTACATCGTTTAAACAACAGTCAAGAATAGAAAATAGGAAGCGTAAAGAATAGCTATCAAGCTCGTTCACAATAAATGAATGTCTAATAGCTGTTCTCATAATGGAAGCATAAGTCGTACTTAGACGCCCCCATCGCTAAGCGGTCCAAAGCGCTCTGGACGGTTTGTGGATTGTCCCCCAGCAAGGCAATAGTATGGGCGTAGTCCAAGTCCGTGACTCTGTCTCCAGCGAGGAGCTCAACACAGCAGTCCTGGACACCTTCCAGTGCTCATTGTAGAACATCTTCAATGGCGAAATTGAAGAGGAAAGGTGAAATAGGGCAACCTTGGCGAACAGCGTGGGTCACAGCAAATGAAGAAGAGAACGTGCCGTAAGCCCTGACTTTGCGCGACGTGTGACTGTAAAGTACTTTCAGGATGTTGACAAACTTGTCAGGCATACCTTTATTCAGTAAACTGTTCCACAACGCAGATCTATCAACTGAATCAATGCCGCTCTGATGTCCAAAAACACTATGTTGGCCGACGGTGGATGTGACGAAGTTGGAGAAGTTGGCGAAGCGCCATAAAATAAGCTCCTTTTTCTCTAGCAAGCTGCTAGTACAACATTTATAGGAACAGCCAGCTTAGCTTTCTGGTCTCCTAGCACAATGAATGTGCCTTGGGGACCAGACTTCTGTGGTAGCATGGGTTAGAGATATTCTATCTGGAACCCGGTGGAATGCAACTTTTCAGAGAAGTTCCACACTAAGCAAAGTGAGGCAGAGTACAAATACTAATCTACAGCCCTATATCCGCTCCGCATACTCACAGTTGACGACTAAATATAACAAGTGAAAAAAATACAAGTTTGCTCAGAAGTAGAATGGAACTTCGAGAGAGTGGCAACACTCTCGAACTCGTGAACATTTCAAGGAATCCCTCCATTTAGCTAATTTTAAAGCATTCAGCTACACTGACACCTTCAGATTAACTGTGATCATTATCTCATTCAAACCCAATCTTGTCTAAGCCATTTGTCCGAAACTCACCTCGCAGTAGGTTCGTATGTGTAAGTTTCTGACGTTTCCGATCCTGTAACACTTACGTTATCCCTTGCTGTGCTGGGTGGACTTAGTGATCCGATGTCTTCACTCGATCGCGCAATTGGCGTGACGTCACCAGATCGGCTGAGTAGATGAAATATTCTAGTCATTTCACACAACTGTTCGTCTGTTTCCTTGTCGCTAAACGAGTAAAATGCGGGTATCAAAAGGTTAGGTGATCCAGAAATGATTGCTGATGAAGCAAATAACTGTGGACACAGGAACACATCTTACGTAATCGTTCATGTCATTCGAAAATTCCTGTAAACCAAAGGACATTTAGAAGATTGATCAATAAGTGCTGGTGTGTCGCTAACCAAGTAGGGTGAGTTCAAAAAAGAAGCAAAGGCAACAGTCGGTTCGTTCAGTCTGATTGCAAACCGAAAATTTTATTCCAAACAGAATAGCCTAAAGACGCAAATTGTGAGATGACTTCGTCATTTCTTGCAATTCGTCAATCACAATCATGCAGAACGGATAAATATACAAAACGTGGTCACTGGAGATCGATAACTAGCCATTCTTTGGGCACTCAGCGCGCCTGGCGCCACCACGGTAATTTCCCGTCCCCAGTCATCTATTTCTACACACAAATAGTAAAAAAAAGGCATCAGCAGTACGTCTGTACGCAGTACGGACTCTTCATCCCCACGCAACCCCCACCATTGGCACGTGGCTAAGAATTCCGCTAGGGTCGCTCGGTCCCTAAGCAGGCTCGAACGCGCACGCTTAGATTACAGGGCAGGTTTGTGATCCAGAAGCTTACCGGCCTCACACGCAAAGCAGTGACCATTCACGAAAGGTGGTCTTGGCTTCCATTATCCAGAGAATGTGGGGCCGCTGATTGTGCATCAGACTGGTAAATGACACCGTGAATAACCAGATGACCGCTGCTCGTCAAGTGCTTCTGATTGCTAAGGTAGGTCGTTTTATCGATTTACTCGATTCCATTGTCCACGATCCTATCCGGCTGCTTAATCACTTGGGAATTTGTTTATTGCTCCCAACATCCAATTTCTGCCATAGGCCCAGCACAGCTGTCCCCGCAGCTACAGAAGAATTTGTATAAGCAATAGGACATGCACTGCCTCGTTATCGGGGTCTTGATGGAACACATGAGCTGAGGTCTTGTTGATGTGCGCAACCGCAATTCAGCTGAATTGTACGCCTTTTCCTCGGGATTACTGATAGGTTTGGTAGTTACTTTCATTATGTGGTCAAAAATGCATAGCAGTTCGTTAAAGATCGGCTTCCTTTGAACTGTTGGTGTGCAAACTCGCTTGGCAATACCGCTAAGGCACTTTAAACTGCAATGGATAACCGTTTGATTGTAGTGACCAAAATAGCAAATCATTATCTGCCACTAATGCGTTCGGAATGCAATTCATCTAGGCATGATAAATAAAGATTTTGGACGATCGGGCTATTGTGTTGTAACCGGGAGAAACTATTAAAATGTAAATAATTGTCTATCCAGATTGCTTTTGGACAAACTAGCCATTAGTATTCTTACAAGGTATCCAAAAGGAAGCAACCTGTAAAGGTCATACCATCGCCTAAGTAATCAGATAGTTTTTAAGTGTTGTATTTTTTGCACTCGCAACCCTGCACGACAATAGCGGTCTCACGGTTATCTGTGAAGCAGCGTTTGTAATTTGTCGCGTCACACAGGGCAGCGGTTTGAGTTTGTATCCCGCACTTCGACATGTGGTGTACACGGATAATCATTGATTGCAGCATCGGCGAATGATTGAGTTTCCAGTTTGAAATGGCATACCCTCGTTATCACAAACTCTAACAGTTTGGAGAACACCCATTTTCGGACCATTTAGTTTGCTGCTTGTAAAGACACTACAACTGGACATGATAAACCGTTCACGATGCCGTGTCTTTTTAAATAGACTGGCTTACTTGCAATGTTCTCTTTTCTAACTTGTAGGAACATGACGGAAGACAGTGTTTTGTATCCGTATGTTATTAACTATGTAGCCATATCATTCCTAATAGTTGCTGCTGACTGTTCTCCATTTAAGCTACGTCCTATTGATCCGTCACCATTTGTCCTAAATCGAAGAAGCAGGCTTCCAATTTAGACTGCTTGAGACCACTATTACATTAGATGTATGAATATTACTTTGAGATGATATCTTGGAACGAAGTTGGCCACAAGAGTTGCACCAACATACACGTCGCTGATTTTCTGATCACCAACAGATGCGCATAGATATGTTACACGGAATTCAGCGCGATTGAGACATCTATCAATGCATTGGCCTCCAACGTCTAATAGGGTGACTTTCTTACTCCCTTTGGACCCTACAGAAGTGCACAAAATTTTATCTGCATATATGGCCCGGAAAGTGATTCAGGGCTGAATTTTAACTACTATCCCTTTGTTTAGATTACGATTAACAACAACAAGTGTGAACATGGCTCGGCTACTATCACAACTGCCAATTCTAGCGTTTTCTTCGTAATCAAAAACTAAGTCCTATCTGTCTTCAAAATGCTGTGTGGATTCATAGTGTTGGCAATGGATGTTTTGACCTGGACAGCCAAAAGCTGTCCTCTGCACATGCAGTAACCTGTATAACGGTGATGCATGCATCCGCCTAAATCGCAGTTAAGTTACAACCCGTGATGGTCGGCTATCGTTCCCCATGGCTCAGTGGCATAAACTGCTGGTTTAAGCCACTAGCGGTCATGGGTTGGACGCCCAGCAGAGGACCGAGAGAATGCGCACCACTAACGAGTCCCCATAAGATGAAAAGATCATCTGGTGCTTTTCTAGACGGGTAGCTTACCTATGCCGTATGGGATCTAATGGAAATGAACCAAATCGTATCATTCTCAAATCCGTCTACTCATTAGTAATGTTATGAATGTTGCCAACTCCGAAGAAAACATGCATTCACAATAACATCAGCTTCCTTAAAACGGTCGCTGAAGCAAACGTAAGGTGTGCAAATGGCAAAGGGGGATGAGGACAGGTATGTTACACACGCTGGTGGCGAGTCGGAATAGTAGACCATGTAGTCAGAGAACCTTGGCTACATTCTCGACGATTTGAACACATCCGTTGGCTGAGATGAGTGCGGGATAGTCAGGCTTCACTTTCTGACGGCTTTACATATTTTATTAGTAGATTGTTATTGGCACAAACTTTTCGTCAAACACTGTTTTTGTGCATAACATACGTTGTCGTAAATTATGGTGTCGCGATTACTCAGCCCTAAAGGACGCTCTACCCTTAGCTTATCGACCATGAGCTGTTTCTACCTGAGTACTAAATCAGACACAGATATATGTTCCACGCTTTAAATCTGGTAGGCGAACTGATATGGACGAAGAGCCGAATATTTACAATAAACTCTTGCATATTGTCGTTCAACCACCCCCGTACGCATCTTGAACATCGAGGTCACCAGCGTTGATAATATGGGTGTACATTAATCCCAGAATCTTGCTCAGGATTAATGTCAGACTGTACTCTATCTCTAGCGCGGACATGGGGATGATAAACAGATGCCACAAAGCAACTGTCCCTGCTGCTCAGTCTCAGTCGGTATCAGAGTGTCCACTGGTTCGCAATGCAGGTCAGTGCTGAAATACAGATGTACACCTTCCTTGCTGCTGTGATCATTTGGAACAATGGATATACCCTGTATCGTGATTTCGGTGACAGTAGTTTCTGAGTACTGAATACTGAAAGTACAGAGAGAGAAGATAAAAATCACTGTTGCCCTAATCTAAGTGGATCGGCACATGCGCGGAATCACTTGACTGATCCCTTGTGGTGGCAGCATATTTCAGCTGCACTACATCTTATCCGGGTGCGATACGCTCCCTATACCTGTAGATCACAACGAGGGCGTTAAGGAATCTGTTAAATTCCGACACCGATTTCGCCTCGAGTAGGGTCTCCGGCAATTTGCTCCAATATTTCACACTCGACACTCGAAGTGTAGAGGGTTAACGATGCGTTTTAAATCCGATACCATTAGTTTGTAATGGTGTCTGCGTGTGCTACTTCGTGTGCGAACGTGAAGCAGAAGCTTCAACATAGGGAACCGGCTGTATCCGGTGCGTCATTATGAAATCAACTCGGAGCCGACGATATGACAGGATATAGAGCCCTAGTCTCCTACATCGCTAATCGTACCACATACACCGTAAATTATGGATGCGTCGGGCAGCTACATACTAGATCCTTTTTAGTCTCTGCACCCCATCTATTCTGATCGGACAGTAAGCGGGTGAGCAGTACGCAAGCACCGGTCTTAATAGAGATGAGAACGGACGGGTGGTAATCTCTTCAGAACAAGTGTAGAAGCTGCGTCTAAGTGCCCAAATCAGGCGTAGTCCTTTTTCGTACAGTCTGCTCGTATTGTTTACTGACTTTAGAGCACAGCGTCGGAGTACGCCCAGATCCCTTGCGGAACTGGTGGGATGCATTTGGTGGCTGGCTAGGTTGTACGCACGCTTATTACCACCCCACCCAGGGTTCATAAACGAGGAGTTGGCCGGGTTGACTGGTACGTTAAGTTCTGCAGACCACCGGGATAGGCGGTCGAAGTCCTGTTGAAGGACCTCACAGTCGATGGGAGAATGGATAATCCTCCAAATCTTCAGGTCATCTGCAACTAATGCGCAGCGCGTCCGAAAAAGTTGAGGTATTTCGTTGATGTGGATCAGGAACAAAATGGGCCCCAATACTGTGGCTTGGGTTATGCTACAAGTGGAAAGTTACCATTCTGTTAGGCGTTCATCCACCTAAACCTGCCATATTCTCCAAATAAGGAGGTCACCGTTTCCCCGGTGCAGTGCGCCAATAAAACCAAACATACTCAGCTTGTGGAGAAAGACCACGTGGTTCACTTTATCTAAACTTCTGCTGAAATCAATGTAGAAAACAACCACTGCCTCCCAGCAATTCAACGCTTGCAACCATGCCTGCGGCGTCAACAGTGGGTTGGTGATGTACGAGCACCCCTTAATGTAGCCTTCTTGTGTCAGCGTTAGATCTCTCGACTTCAGCATAAGGAGAAGACCCATTTATACAATCTTCTCGAGCGCCTTCGCCAAAACAGAGGTGAGACAAATCTGCCGG